CATACGTCACGTTGTATACTGGTACTTAAATGAATTAGGAATGTATGTATTTCACTATTCATTATAACTCATTTGTACTTCACTGCAGAATGCTAACGATGGATTAGGCTGCAAAATGAGAAATCACCCAGTCTGTAAACTTATTAATTCCAATTTTGTACGTCTTCTCTCCACGTTCATAACGTTCATTGTGATCGTTAATTTTCCTGACATTTTTTTGGTACGTCATAAATCGTCGGTATTCGAAATCAACTCCTTCGGTCAGTTTATCTTAAAAAGCGTTAAGTCACTAGGGAAAATTTTGTGACAATGATTACAGTATGAATGGTTTTGTGAATTTTTTGATGATTCTATCGAAAGTACGAAAGTTGAGGAGGAACGGAGTGGTTTTATTCGTTTTGCCGTTTAAAATGCGAGACGCTGACTTCTACAAGGACTTTACACGTCATAGTAATATCTTACTGTATTGTCGTTTATACTGAATGTAATCGGCATATTCTTTTTTGAGCTGTTCGCTTCCCAGTTTCTCCAGTACTAATTTCTCAGTTCTGAAAATGTCAGATACTGCTTGTCATGAAAATATTACTCTAATATTAAGCATGAAATTACTCCCAATCTATTGGGACTGTAAAAGGTTAAAAATACTTTGACTCACTAAATACTAGTTACATGATGGAAAACATTTTTGCGTAGAAAGTATAGTTCATTCTGTATGGTAATGCATAACCAGATGTGTTATGAGTGGAAAATTCAAAATGGCTTTTTTCAACACTATCACTCCCATAATGTTATTTTACAAATAGGCACAATAATTCTTTGATCGTTGTTGGGGCTAAGCTTTCAACTCACTTTGATTGGATTTGGTTAGTAGGCGAAGTACGATGTACTGAGAATAAAGAAGCAGTGGTAGTTAAAAGGACAAAATACTTCATTTCTGTTGGTTGAGAATGGTAGCTGGTACAGGTAACTGCTTTTTATCTGTTTTCTTTTTAGTTTATCAGTTTTGCCCTTAGGAAATAAATGTAATTTATTGCATGGTAATTGTTAATAATGTCTTTAAAATAATGACTCATAGAACTTATTATTTGCTTCATTGCAAATTACATTTTTTGACTTTGATCACTGCTTTTTCTGTTCCAATAAGCAAATTCCACTTTCGATTTGCTGGCTGCTGAGTGCCAAGATGATCGTGCCAAGATTGACACTCGCTTGTACTGCTTTCGATTGCGTGGCAATACAAGCGAAAAGACTTTTCTGGAGTCAAGCTGAATTGGGTGTGAGTTTGCAGATGCTTTCACAACTGAAGCGACAAATGCATTGGCTAGCAATGCATTCAATTGCAGTTCTTGTTGAATCTTGATTTGAACAGAAGTTGTTAACATGTCTTATCATCTATTAATGCTGGATATGAATTTAAAAGTTGTCTGCTGACGCAAGAAAGTAATATTATTATGATTTATGATTGTAATAGAAATTGTTCGTAAAACAGGCAGATACAATAATGTATTCTAGAGAGTAATGTTTTAATGTAATGATTCACACGGCAAAACAAAAAAAGTTGAGTAAACATTTGAAGTAATATGATGTACCAGAAACAAGTGTAACAAATTAATTTTTTTCGATCTCTTCAGAAATGTCATAGAGCACTCCTCCATGAAACAAAACAGTACTTCATTTGCACAAAAAAATTGTACTAAAGCATAAATTTGGATTGACTTATGGAACTGATAAGTTCACTGCATCGCTTATCAAATATTCTACAGAATACTCCTTATCAAGACTTTTATAGTTAGTTATTTGCAGACAGATATTTTGATACTATCTCAGTGTGATTTCAAATAAAGAAGTGTTTTTACTAATTATCACACTACCTTTATAATAATTTTCTTGATGGTCTAGTATGCGAGGGATTCGATTAGTCTCATAATTTAAAACTCATTTTGAATGATTTAAAAAATGTGCTTTTTGCATCAAAATTACTTATTTCGAGTAAATTTGAGATTTATTATAATTTTGAATTTCTACACAAATTTTGAAAAAAGTAAACAAATTAGGCACGGATTAAGTTGAGATAATCTGACAGCTTTTTTTTATTGCTATTCTTATAAGCACTGACAAAGAATCAGCTCAATCAGTTGCTCTTTTTCTGCTTCCTTCTTACTCACTGAAAGCAAACTTTGAAAATATCCATTGTGTATTTACTATCCTTAGTTCCACACAATTCACCTTTGATGATGTTTAATTAGATTTCCTCGTATGCACTAGCAGATAATAAAAAATGTTTGATTAGACTTTCTGGCACTTACTAGTAGATAGTAAAGTAGTGCAAAGTGCGCTATTTATTTCTCTTATGATAAAATTATCTTTAATATTATAACAATTTTAGTTCCACTGACCGTAAGGATGAATTGGATAGACCATAAATTCGCTCGGATTAAGTACTTTGATGCAAAAACATTTGAATCATGCAGAAGGAGTTGAAAAAATGAGCTAAATCCCTTACATACTCCACCATCAAGAAAATTATTACGAGGAAGAAGCGTTTTCTGTTGAAAATTTCAATGTCTGAAGAAGCAGATCGCATCAGATGAATATCTGCTAAAAAATTAAATGTTTCAGTGTGCCAACATGCAGGCAATAGTAGCAATCTGTTTGCATTGTTTTTTCCATCTATTTCAGTTTTTGCTGCTCCAACCGAAACAATTGAGGACACAAGAATAGGATGAAACAAAAGGCTCGGAATCAAAGCAGTGATCAAAGTAGCTCAATATTAATGTTACCTTGGATGCAGGCAGAGTTCAAGATAATAATCCCAAGTTTCAGAGTTTCGATGATTTGACTTGTTCTGTGGAGCATCTGCTTAATGACGGACTTAAGTAAATATCTTTTGATATAAACATGCATTCCATCTTTAAATACACATCTATCGAATGAAAAATTGAATGTGCAGGATGAAATAGGTTCTGCACGAATACTGAAATATTCTAAAATTTAGTCCTTTTATAATCAAATTAAAGTTCACATTCACTGCATGAATTACCAATTCAGAAAATTATATGAGAATCATTAATTTCAAATATCAGCTATATCGTATAAAATTGTCCATCAATTTGAAAGGCAACTTTTATTTTATATATTCCTATTTGTATTTATTTTATGTTTGTACAAGTTTCACTTAAATACCGTCTCCACAAATCAAGGAGTTTAAAAATACGATAATTCGTGCCACAAAGTAAGTTTTGCACAAAATATGCAAATTACTTCTTTTTTCAAATCAATTACTAAATTTTGGTTATGCATTATGTGTACTAAATTTTGGTTATGCATATTCGAAAAATGAAGAATTTGTTGTATAGAGCATTACTGAAAAATAAAATATTCGAATCAGACTGCTTTTACTATTTTTGTAGCATTCAAGTGTGCTTGGTGAGATGCACGAAAGTCTTCAAGAGCTTCTCCTCAGTAGCAGTCTTTTTTGAAATTTATTCTCTGCTAGCAATTCTCATTGAAGGCATTATAATTTCTGGACAGTTCTGACTTCACATTTTTAGTATTTGAAAATAATGCAAATTCCCTCCTACAAGTCTGCTTGAAGCGTTTCAGTGCTTCAATAAAACACTTACATTGCATTAATATAATACTAATTATAGCCTACTAAGTAAATAAAACTTTCAGCAAAAATTCTTATCAGAAAAAGGATTTTTTGCAATATATGTGGGCATTACAATGTAATGCATCGAAAAATTTGCTGAGCACACATAAGTTATCAGTGAGAAAATTATAAAACGAGCAAATTTCTGCAAGTCGTCGAGAGAAGTGTACAGCGTTCGATATGATTTGCGATTTAATTACTGCCCTTTCCTTCATTTCGCTCTTCGGTGCTTCCCATATGCGACATCCCGATTTAGAGTGAGTCTTTTGTCACCTAAAACTGGATATTATAAGCATACTGAATCTACTCATTGATAAATTCACAAATTCAAATGCTGGTAATCAAAAACTCCATCATCAGTACTGAATGTTGTGATAAATTATAGTTGTGACATATTGCTCACTAATCAGTTAATTGAAGTTCAAATGCATTCAATTCTAATTTCTAGCTGAATTGAGCGTGCATTGGCGAACTTCAAAGTCTATAATTATGTTTGAAATTTCTAAGATACTCGTTATGTTGTGGCATCTGAAGTCATTTTAGAGTTAGTGAAATGATGGAACTAAAACTGCAAAGCCATAAGCTTACAAAAGAGTATAGCAAATACAAACTCTACAAGCAGCAATACAGTAAGTTGTTATTTTATTCACTAATTATTCACTTGAAAAAGGAATGCATTTATTCTCAAGACGGATTTAAGTATAACGCAGAGAAGTAATTCACTCAGTAATGCTGCAAACGCAAAGTGAGAAGCGAAGCAATCAAATGTAATAGTTTTATTGTTGTGCGAATTAATTTTGCTTTGCATTTTTCATCTAAATTGCACTCATATCCTTCGCATAAAGCCAGTCGAGAAAGGATTCTGAGAAAAAGCACAGATCAAAAATTTCGACCTCACTAACCTATCAAAATTGCTATCAGAAATATTTCCAGCCAAAGAAACAAACGACAAAAGTGTAAGGTAAGTTTTACGAATGAATTGACCAGAGAGAATTATTAATAAATTTTTCAAGAAAAACCAACAGAGGGAATAGATTTGGAATATCGTCGATTTATGACGTATCGAGAAAATATGAAAAAAATTGATGAACACAACAGACGCTACGAACTAGGAGAAGAAACGTATGAGATGGGCATCAACAAGTTCACGGACTATGTTCGTGAATATTTTATTTAAAAAGTTACCTAAATTAAAATATTGTGTTGCTTTTAACTGACAGCTCAAGAATATTATTTACAAAAGAAATTTGTTTTATTTTTATAAATGAATGTAATCTTATAGCAACCCGAAGAGCTTAGCAAACTTCATGGATTTCGATTAGACAAGTTAGATAAACGTGATCCAAAACATGTAGCCAAACTTCAATCGAATCGCTTTATTCCAAATGAAATTGACTGGCGCAAGTTGGGAGCTGTGACTGAAGTCAAAGATCAGGTTTGCCAGATATTTAATCAGTTATATCACGATTGAGAAAAACAATTTTTAACTTAAAAGTATTTAATCTTACTTTTGTTTATAAGATGATTAATTAGATAATAGGTTATCAGAGATATTCGATATGTTAGCACTTCTTTTGTCAAATTAAAATTTATAGGGAAACTGTAGAAGTTGCTGGGCTTTCAGCGCAGTTGCAGCGCTGGAAGGGCAACATTTTTTGCGGACAGGAAATTTGGTTTCTCTTTCGGAGCAAAATATTCTTGATTGCAGTGGTGAAAAATATGGTAATTATGGATGCGATGGTGGCCTTATGATGAATGTCAGTTATTATAATACTTTAATTTCGAAAACAATGTCAATTTTAAGATTTTACGAGTAAAAGTAACTGAAATCCTCTTTTTTTCATTATAAATTAGTGCTGTCGATTGCATTTGATCGACTAAAATTTACTTTCAATTCAGCAGTATAATTAAAAGCCTGAATCATTATGTATGTACTAAATTTAATCTCGCTTCTGAAACGAACCAATGTTTATTTAGTATATGATATTTCAGGCATTTGAATATGTGATAGATAATAATGGTGTAGACATTGCAAGCAGATATCCATATTTAGCCTTTCAAAATAGATGTAAATATTCAAATCTAACCCGTGGGTCAAGCGCTTTTGGCAGAAAATTACTGCCCTATGGCGATGAAGAAATAATGAAAATGGCTGTAGCATTAATTGGCCCAATTTCAGCAGCTTTTAATGCAGATAAGGTGGTATCATATTCTAAAGGTATATATTTATTCCGATTAAATTTGAAAAAAATGAAACTACTTTTGTTAATTTTTGCTAGCAAATATTCTGGAAAAGTGGATTGCAGAAACTTTTTGGTAACTTACACCCGCTAAATTGATTTCTGTCAAGTGTATCATTTATCACGGGAAAATCATAAAATATTTCAGGTATTTTCTCTGATGAAAACTGTTCAAAAGTTATTAATCATGGTGTTACTATTGTTGGTTATGGTACTGAACAGGTAGAAATGAAAAATGGAACTTTGAAACTTGTTGATTACTGGCTTATTAAAAACAGGTTTCACGTTTGATCAGAGCACTGAAAATTAAATAAAACATGAAAAAATCGTTTTTATAAAATTTTCTGCTAGGATTCACATGTTAGCGAAAACATGAACAGATCAAATTGCAAATATGCAATTTGATGTGTACGTCTTTTTTCGTTGATATTTTGATCAATTTCAGTTGGGGCGTAAATTTTGGAGAGCAAGGCTATTTACGAATGGTTCGAAATAAAAACATGTGTGGAATAGCAACCTATTCGTGCTACCCTTTGGTACAAAATATTGAGGTCTGACCCTGCAAATGTGCACAGACTGGAATTAAATGGAAGGCAGTGAATTTCAATTTAGTATTGAAAGCGTATATTTCATTGTGAAAATTGTAATATTCGAACTACTACTTACCTTTTTGTACTTTTATCTAATAAGATTTGAATAATATAGATAAATGAATGTTATGGGAACTAAGTATTATTGAAATCATTATTTATGATTACTACTTATCACTTAGCTAGTTAAAACGAAGAATAGCGGTGCAGAACTCATTGTTTAAAAAAATCTGAATATGACACTCTTGGTCAACCACTGCGAAGAGTATTGAAAAATGAAAATTCTGATATGCAAACACATCGGATGGCTATGTGAAATTCAAATATATTTGTTTGACATCAAAACTAATCTTAAGCGATGTAAGAAGGGAAAGTTTTTATACTGAAGATTTTTCACTCTAACTCATAACTATTTTTTATAGCAATGAGTAATTGATTGCAGTAATTACGTATCATAATTTTGGATTTTACAAAACTAAGTACACGTGAAACTGTTCAAAAAACAAAAAGTATGTGATGTGAAAATTATGATACATAATTTTCAAAATCCAAAATTATGTATCATAAATAAAATTAAATACACGTAAAACTATCGAGAAAACAAGAAATATGTGATGTGAAGTGTGTACCAAATCAGCCTGGTGCTTGTCTGTGAAGTGTGTACCAAATCAGCCTGGTGACGATATATATCTATACTATGTGGAATACATTCATATGTTAATCGTCAATTACTGAATTTCAGAAATGCAAATATCAGATTAGAATGAGCAATTTTTATCTGTTGAAAGTCAAAAAATTCGGTATCGTTGAAAAAAAAGTACATTGAACTATTGTATATTATTGTAACAGATGGCATTGAAAAGTTTAAAATCTATGTCAGATTGCAGTAAACAATTGGAAAAGCAATGACTGAGTTAATTAAATGAAACAGAGAGTTATTGTATTTTCAGACATTACAGGCACTGATTGATACGCACTGCCTATCGTTCTTTAGGTACAATTCAGAGTAAAAAGCTTCAGCGTAATTTGGTTTTCGTAAAATTTTCGTTCCTCACTGAATTTAAGAAGAAATTAATTTGTTTTGTAAAAGTTATTCATCTCTTCTAACTGTGCACAAAAAAAAAAGCAAGCCTTAAGAAAGCGTAGCTTTGATTTCAGTAGTTAATTAATAAGTGATGAAAGGATAATTATTTCGATGAACTTTTGTCAGTTACTATAATGGCTCTTGTGATTTAATTAATTGAAGATCAAGCGAAAATTTGGAAATGTTAAAATAGTCAATCAGTTGTTTAATACAATTTTTGTTTAGTATCAGTCATCTTTTTCAATCAGTTCCATCTTCATTTTCACTATCATCAAGATTTTCTTCATTTTCATTGCAATAAAGTAATCAGACACAATACTGTCGTTCATCATAATGCTGCATCAGTTGCCTATTTATTCTGCCTTGCTTGGATTAATTTCTTCAATAATTTGAAGACAGTAATGACTAATTCACTACAATTTTGTTTTTTCCATTGCATGCATGTCTGATTTTACTGATATCATTTTAATACTATCACTTCAATGATAAAAAAACTGCTATTTGTCCATGTGTGTGTGTGTGTGTATGTGTGTAAATGACAAAATAAGAGTGTTTAAAATGAATTACTTAAAAATATATTGAAATCGCTGAAACTAATCGTTACTCATCCAGTTTTTATTGAAAGTATACTCCGAATAGGCAGTTTTGAGCAAATACTGAGATCAGTATAGGATCAGTATAATTGCCGGCAATATTATATTTTTTTAATAGGCGAAAATTTCATTTTTAATTATTCTGAAACTGACAATTTGAAACTTAATATTTCGATTACATATTGACTAAATATACATCAATTTAAAATTAAATATTTGAACTAAATTTTTCAACTAAATATTGAAAAATTGATCAGTTTGATAAAGTATACGACCTTAGCGGCAAATTAATTCATGAGTTTTATCTTTTTAATTTTACATAAACTGTGGAAAAAAAAATACAAGAAATGGTGCATCCAAAAAACGGTAAATGGGTTCAATTAATTCATTGAAGTAAAATCGAAATAGCTTGAAGAATAAAATTATGAAATGCGTAAATATTAACAAAGTAGTTGAAAACAAAAGTGTAATAAATGTGTTTGAAAACAAGTTAAGGTTGAGTGGGAACTTTGTAATTTGCATGAATTAATTGATTTTACTAATAACTTTTTTTAATATTTTATTACCTAATAATTCCTGTAATTTGTTTGAAACCATTACTCCAAAGTTGTTCAAGAATAATGCAAAGCTTCGGAGAATTTTTTGAAACAGTTCGCTTCTATTTAATGAAAAAAGGCAAAACTGAGCAACTTTTTAGTATTACATCAATATTACACTGTAACAAATTTTTGCCCAAACTTCAAAAAAGTCTTATTTCTCAAAATAGCTGTGGGAGTCCAAACGTTTTGTTTTTCTTTTTTACACACATTTCTTAAGAAGTGAATGCAAAAATTAAAAATTAAATGTGGCTTCGGTGATTGTAATAGTGAAAGACACTTTCGGTTATCAATTTTTCATTTTACCACCATTTTGGTGCTCTAAGTTTCTAAATAAATTTTTAGTTTGTCAATTTTCAAGCTATACTTATGTTTATTTGTATCAAACTCGATTGGGAACATTCGAAATATACACATGCTTCAGAACCTTTAAAGATTCCTAAAATCCAATGACTAATAATCTTAAATTGCATGATATCTCTTTCATTGTTTCTTACACTCATGCATTGTTGGTATTTCAGTAATAATTTATATTCTTAACGGTGATTTCTATCCAATTATGCGTTTCGTCACATATTTAAGACTAATTTGCTTAATATTTGTGGCTTCAAATTTTCTGAAATCTTTCCATTATTTCTTAATTATTATATAATTTTGTCAAAAAATCAATGTGATTACAAGTTGGTGTGAAATAAATAACTGTAATTAAGAGGTTACATAACCTTATTTCGAATTTCGATTAATGCTGACAATTTGCTAATTTGTGCTTGTTTTCTCAGTGAATTTCGTGTCAGTTTTTTCAAATTTTTCTTCCAGTAGTGAATTTATAATCTGACAGCTGTTCGACACATTCTCTTATTTTAATCCAAGCATCAGATGCTTTAGCGTTAAATGTTTATATCACTGTCTTCTTTGCACTTCGAAAACAATGCTATAAGAATAACTCTTCTTTGTTTGTCGTATTTTTGTTTTTGCATTTTGCAGATTGCCGCCGCCTTGTTATGAACTTTATTAGCAGTAGAATTTGTCTTCCACTTCATCATTCGCTCTCTCTGAAGGAGTGAATGAGTGAGTGTACAAAATAGTGATCGGAAGTAATGCTGCAGTTCAGTTTGGCATGCACCAACACACATTTCATTTATTTTTGCTCATATTCTTTCTTTGTTTATAAAACTGTCTAGTTCATACATTTGTGGCTAATTTTCAAGCTCAGAATTGAATAGAGTATTATTTACAGTTTGAATCACTCAAAAACGACCGAAGATATACGACTTATGCAATTATGTCAGAAGTTCATTCTGTCTACGACCGGCGCTTTATTCGATTAATTTTGGCGACCACAAAAATTTGCTATTGAAGCAATATTTTCCTTCATTCAGGTGATCAGTTTTCATTTTATATTATGTTCAAGACTGCTTTTAGTCTAACGCTTAAAAGAGAGACGTTGCGCGCACGTAATATCAATCGTTGCATTTGAAATCGAACTCGTTAATCGTATGCAAAAGAAGAAACAATATATTTGTTTATTTTAATTACTTCACTGCAGGGAAAACTGTTTATTTAATTGGGATGAATGGATTGAACTAAATTAATAATTTTAAATTGCTTGCTGACAGCTCCCTTTAACTTTTAAATAAGTTTCTAAATTCTAGAAACAAACTACTTGTTGAGTCTTCATATTCAACTTATGAATGAACTTTCTGATCTTTATTTTACGTAATTTTATCCTTACAGATTTATTCATATTTCGTGTTATGTTACACATAGTAACAATAATTAGTTCAGTTCTGCTGCTGTTAAATACGTTACTCATGTCTTCCATTGGACTTATTTTCCTGCTCTCTAGGGTTATTCCACGTTCATTTTCCTCCTCTTTCATTAAAAGATTATTGTTAGCCTAAATGAATAAAATCAATAACATTTTATTTTTGCATAAAGCTTTCTAATTACAGCTTTGCTAAATATCCTTGACTGACCTAATCAAACCTCATTTCAATTAACTTAAAGATTCGTTCTACACTCGAGTTTATATGCCTAAAATATACCTAAACATTCGTTGGTTATTTTGATAAAACTTAAAATGATAATTTAGCGAATTTTGTTTCCAACAACCAGTAAAAAGCAAAAAAGCATTCTTGAAAACTCTAATATTCATTAGATTCAATAAAAATTATTGTTGCGTTTTGCATATTCAAGTTTGTTTAAATTTCCTTAAAATTATGATTATATTTATTATTAGTGTAGATACTGGAGCATATTTTGGTAATTATGTTGGAAATAACTGTGTGCACTGATTGCAGTGTGAAGTTATAATTATTATTTAAATAGTATGCAATTGATTCTACATGATATTAGTGAGAAATGAATGAAATTGATGGTACGAGCAAATTAATTTATCGAAATTGGAAAAGCATTACTGTATTCGTTCCATAAAGAATTACACTTTTTTACTGCCGAAATCGTTACTTTTTCCACGTTTTCATCTTACATCATTATTGCAGCAATTTTTCCCTCACGCAAAAACTTACTGTGAAAGAATGTTTTTGCCGGTATCTCTCTCACCTGCCACACTGCATTACTTTATTTTTTCAATTCTTCTAACCAAACACTGGCGAGAAATTTGACTGGTTCTACTCAGCGGCATTATTTATTATTATTATTGTTATCTGTTATAATTGCTTATTATCACTATTA